CTGCTGGAAAGTCAATTATCCAGTGAGTCCCATCAACTGAAAGATATTTAATGGGGGATTATTGCCACTTCTGTTATGTCAGCTGTTTATTACAGCAGATCAATTCCCAGCCCTCTCTAGGAAGAGGTCTGAAGACCAGTTTTGTTCACAGGAGGATTCAACTGGGTGTCCTTGCTAGCAGAGATTAAAAACACAGGGTTGTTGGTTTGGGGTTTTTTTTTTTTTGCTAATTACAGTAACATCCAGCTGCTCCTAAAACCTCACTGAATGTTAACTCAGATCAACAAACCTAGGTGAATAAGAGACAAGCCAGTTCTTCAGAAGGCAGCAGCTATTTCCCCATCCTCAACTTTACACACTCCGAGGTAAAACGATCTGTAGAGGGCTGAGCTGCTTGTCTTCCCAAGAAGTTTGGACTTGGTTATAAATCCAGAGCGCAAAACCGTTTGTGGCATTAACTTGGGTGCTCCAAGAAGCAAAACACTTGCTTTCACAGGGAACTTTGGTCATGCTGAGAGCTTATTCCACTACATTTGAGGACAGGAAAGAGAAGAGGGCTTAAAGGAGATACAATGCTTTACTGCTGCATATGGGTTTGAACTTGATAAAATTTCCCGGAACAAAACTTTCCGTGGGATTAAATATTATTTTGAAGTTATTTTACTTGTTTTCTCCGAAGAAAAAGGGTAATAGGGTAAAATAAATAAGGTTGAAGTTCGATACAGAGAAAAAAACCCCAGAATGTATCCACCTTACTTCCCGAGATGCTCAAGAGCACAGAAGTAACGGTCCCCCACACCTCACCAGTGAAAAGGAGCTTAAAGCTAGCTGAAGCCATCCGCGTTTTGCCATATGTCCAGAAAATTGGCAGAGCTGGGTATCACCTGGCGTGACACGGAGTGATCCGAGGTGAGAGACAGAGGACAGCATTAGCATTTCCTCCCACCGTAGCTGGAAAGGTTTAAAACCAGTTACCGCTCCCCCACGTTAAGCTATCGGATTTTTTTTAAGGAGAGCGCTTCTCATCCACCTCAGTGTAAATCAGCAAGGGCGCACCGAAACGACGCACTGGGCTGCGGAGCCCAGAGGACAGAGCACAGGTTTGTTTTGGGTAGCGGAGTTGGCAAAGTCTCGGGTTAGCATGAAATGTCAGCTCAGCAGCCGGGGAATAAAGCCTTATTTATTCAGAGAACAGAGTACAGGCACCGACAGGCACTTTCCCAGGCCTCAGCTTTGATCTTGAGGGACTATTCCCGCTCACCAAAACCTTTGGGTCCGTGCCAAAGCTACGAAATATCGGCAGCGGTCAGAGCAGCGACCCGAGCACAACCGGAACAGGTTAAATCGGTACAGAGCCCCACGAAGCAAGAGGTGCTCCATATGCAGAATAAACTACGTTTTGCACAGCAAGAGCGCTCAGCGGGAGCTTTGGTGTCAAGCTTCCTTTCCATTCCTCCTAGGAAAACAAAGTTACCCTATGCTGAGAAGCCCTCCTCCGTATGAACAGCAGGAACCTGAGAAATCAATATATCCTCACAAGTCATTAAAAGACCTTTGTATAAGTCAGGCAATAGTAGCAGGAAGGAAAAAACACTGTTCAGAAAGCAGGTCATTCTCTGGAGGGAGTCCTGCCTCTCCCTCCACCCGTCTGCATCAAGGGAATTTGCTGATGTTTGACAAACAGCCTTACCACAGGCAAGAATTTATCCGGTTTCTTGCAGAAAAAGGTGGTGGAAGCAGCACTGGCTGTGCTTGAGCCCCTGATGCAAAGCCTGGGTGGGAAGGCGGAGGTGTTGGGAAGGGCTGGCCACCTTCACGGGCTGCCGGCAGAGCTGGGGAGCCTTCCTTGCGCTGCAGACACCTCCGAGGCCATCGGAGCCTCCCCCCGGACCATCCCCTCCTCAAGAGGCTGCGGGCCTGGCTTCAGAAGCAATTATATCTGGAGCTATTTTGGGATTACTCCCTAACCACCTGGAATATCTTATTAGAGGGAAGCTCAGATGTCCAGAGCAATTTTGGTTTCCAATCCCACATTCAAAAGCCAGAGTTAACCCTGAGTTGCCAAGCAGACAGAAAAAGGAGATGGCAAACACTTTCCTGCTCCATCCAGCCCATTCTTTCGAGCAGAAAAACCTTACAGACAGACAACCTCAACCCCTCCCTGCAGGACACCTACCACTCAAAATATTACCATCTCATGTCTGTCCCTCCTGGAGAAATAATCAAAACTCTGCGCTCGATAAAAAAAGTATTAAGGCAAACATCATTAAGGCTCATCCTCTCCTTCAGTTTTGCCTGCAATTAATGTGCAAACAGGGACATTGATGAGAAATTGGAAACTCTTTTTTCCAGGTCATTCCCTTTTCCCACACCCCACTTTCCTACAGCTGTTAGAGGGGCTAAGCTAAAGCCCAGTGAGTTTTTACCGGACTACAAAATTGTATTCAAACAGCAAACTCTGGACTGGAGAGAACCCACTAAAGCTTTAATACGTACAAGAAAAGAGGAAAAAAAACCTGCTGGCATGAAACTCAAAATCATTCTGCACCTCCTTACTGCAGACCTGCAGTTTTGACCGAGGTTTTAGGCCAGAAATCTGAAATATCCTCTCAGGGACAAGACTAAATGTTATGGTGAAAAGGAAAGCCCCTCCCCTACCCCATGGGTTAACTGAAAGCACTGAGTCAATGAAAAGGTACAGGGGCAGCAATTTCAGGATTATCAGAGAATCCGCAGAAATTCCTTTTGTGGGTAGAGTTAAGCCTTAGGAAGTGAAACAGATGCTATTATAAAGAAAACTGTTGTACTACAAAATGCTGATAAGATCAGGACTACTGCCCTGAGCTGCAAGTTCTCAAGCATGGAGAACCAAGTTATAATTACTGCGTGCACAAGCTGCCTGGTAAAGCTCTGCTGAAATTGGAATAAATCCTTCCCGGTCTTACTAATAACAGAGCTCAATTCAATATCTACAAGCTTCAAAGACGGGTTTTGAAAACATTTGAGTGATTTCAGGAATGGCAGGGAGGATGGGGAAGGAAAGAAAAAAGAATGGACTAAAGTTAACAGATTAATTCCCTTTTTTTTTAATTAAGTTTCTTTTTTGTGCTCCCATGACCTAGTGGCTGCAGCACGAACACAATTCTTTGCAAAACAGGAATCTTGCTTCCTTATCCTTAAGGAAAAGTTGGAGACTCTGTGAATGACTCCTATTCACAAATACTCAGAGGAATTCACTAAAACATTAAGTGACAAGAAGATTTCTTCAGCGCTATATGGCTGTGGGAAGAGAAATTCTCACTCAGATTTACCCTGAAGTGAGAAAAACAGCAGCGTAAGAACACAACACATTCAAGCTCTTTCCACCTACCGTCTCCAGTGTTAGCTAGAATTTCTATACATTGGCACCAAAGGAGACAAGCTGCAACTATTCCTAAAGATAAATTTAGCGCCCGAACAAATCCTAAAACGAGCCCTATCTTCCCCAGGATATAAATGAGCTCCTCGCTCTGCCCCTTTGCTCTGCCTCCAGATATAGCACAGTCGCTGCTATATAGCGTAACCTTGATGAAATCTATGGCATCGCTCCTTGAGATGAAGATCTGGGGGAATTCTCTGGTGCCCGAGACAAGTTGTTTGTAGGCTGCTACGTATAAGTCATTATTGCAAGCAGTTGCTTGGTTATTAAACTAAAAGGTGACTTTTTTTTTAACCAAGATCCTGCTCTGGCCCTTGATGCTGCACTTCAAGTTACATTATCAGTAGGAACACCAAGTTCGGTGCTACGGCAGAGCGGCACAGGGATGAAGACTTCATCAAAACAAACCTAAACCATGAATTTCAAGAGAAGCAGCAATTGGTAATTTAAGAATTAAAATCTGTTCTCACGGAAAACAGCTTTCAGTAAAAGAGAACCCAAATATCTGACATCAGCTGTTAATGAAGAATTCTCCTCCCATTACATCATAAAAAGAAAAACACCCAGTGACCTGCATAAGGAATTAGAAATCCAACCCTTGAATTGGGCCCTGGAGGTCTGAAATAAGGCGGAGGCAAAAAAAAATGCACCATGTGAAATGCAACTTTTTTTATTCCTGGGACCTTCACCCCCTCTGGATTAATGAGTATCTCCTGAGCAATACCTCGATACGCACAACACTTGAGGCACATACTTAAGGTTATGGAATCTCAGCCACTCATTCCTAGACCCTAGAGCAAAAGCAAAGTAATTATTTTAAGCTGACTTATCTTAAGAAACACCGTGACCTTTGTAAAAGTTTAGGTCAGGATTTTCAGGAGTGACTGGGTGATTGCTGAGAATCTAACACGAGACATCCCAAAAAACCAGACCACAAACCACCCTCTTGAAAGTCAGGCAGCTGCTTTACGGAGACTTACCTTGCTGCATTTAAGAAGGCATTAAGCATCAGCTGATGCCTGAAACCCTTGGCTTTAGTTTTACATTCCGCGAAGGAATGCCCGTAGTAATGTGCGTGCTGTAGCAACAGCTTGAGAAAAACCGCTCACGCTAATGCTGCGCGCTAACCTCGCGTGGAAGAGGAGCAAGCGGCACGAGCGAGACGGCGGCCGCGGTCCTGCCTTTCCTACCCGGCTCTCCCTGGTAACCAGAGACATCGCCCAGCAATGCGAGAACCCACGGGAACCAGGAACCCGCACCCAACCATCTGCTAAAAAGCAACGGTGGTTTGTTGTATTTTTTTTTCCCACCCGCGGAATTAAAAGCTCATTTTTCTTTCCAAGACAGGCAACCCACAACGCCCTTTTCCAGGATGGCTGCGGGAGCAGTGATGGATTTGCAGGGGATTCGAGCAAGTCGGAGGAGCGAGTTGAGCGCACACACACACACCCCCCCCAGGCTCTTCTTTCGGGACTGCAACTCCCCGACAAGCAACTCCACTCCCTTGTTGCTTTGTGCTGACAGGATTCCCACCGCCCCTGTGTCATAAGCTGAGCCAGCTCTTTTGTCTGCCGGCTTGTTCTACAATTATTTACTTGGTCATCCAGGACCGAACAGAACGGGGCTTCGTCTCGCTGGTAGTTTCCATCTTTCTGCCATCCTCACGCCACGTTTTCCAGGCAATCTTAGCTTTACGCTTTCAAGGTACTTTTTTCTCCAAGGGCATCACTTTCAGAAGAACAATCCACATTTGAGTGTAGAAATAGAAGTGACTTTTCCCCTCCTCTTCCGCAAGCAACAGCCATTATGCATACCACAAATACTAGCTGCAAGCAAGCAGTGCGTACTGACTGGTTATTAGCCTCCATCTCAACAGAAGCTAAAAAAAGACAAGTTCAGGAATCATTTCGAAAACAAACTGGAGAACACAGGCACTTCTGCATTCGATCCTGGGGGGTTTTTCTGCCTAAAAGAACCATTTTAGACAAAGACAAAAGAAAAAAGCCCAGGATCTTTAAATTATGCCTTTGAAACGAAAAACATCAAGCAAGGCTCACGTTGGGGCTACCATTTAGCATACAGAATTACGCTCTCAGTCCACAGTCGCACCTGCATTTCTCCCCCTTTGCTGTCATGCCAGCTAACAGTTCTTGCCTGCACCCCCCCCCCACAATTTATTCCTACCTCCACGCAGCTCCCCGCTCCCCAGCTCCGAGCTGCTATACTGCAGTTAAATTTTTACTCCCTGGTATGCAGACTCCGCTGGTGAATGCAAACAAGTTGATCTGCAATATTTACCCTACTCAAGGTGAATATACTGCACCAACATCATTAATACCAGGCACTTCAATTTGGTCTTTTGAGCACGCCACAGCACCTTAATGACATCTTTCACCAGCACGATTACGAATCTAAGCCATGCCTCGCTGGGACAGAGCATCTAGCCCAGTACTCCATCTTCACTGACAGTACCAGGAGACAGTATTTCGGGACAAGACATGAACCTGCCCGCTTTCTGCCACGCTTTCCCACCATCCAGAACTCTTGTAGCACAGCACATCCCTGATATTCCTTTATAATCCATTCCTTAACTCGATGTCCATGAATTTCTCTAATTCCTTGCTTTGTATTGTCTGCATCCCCAGCACTGACAAAGATTAACACAGCGACAAGAGAGTTTTTCTTTTCGTTTTGCTTCATGGTGAAACTGTGCTTTCAGAGTAAGTTGGCCTGAAATCAGACTAAGCTGAAACCTGCTACCAAAACACTTGATTACAGCTGGAATGGGCCAAAGTAACTGAATCAGTATTAGTGCACAGCATGCCAATTGTAAAATGTTTTGGGTGTGGGGTTTTTTTTTGTTATTCCACATCAGCTAAGACCAGATCTGGCATACTTACGGTCATTTGTCTTCCCAGAACAGGACAAACAACCTAGGAATCAAGCCTATTAATTCAGTAGGATTCATAGGACTCTCACAAGATAAGCAAGTACTGGGAAGAAGCACAATGACATACTTGTTAGCACAGCTAAAGACTAATGCTAAGTTTATTGGTTTTTTTATTCCCCTAGAACTAGAGTCCTGCCTACTATTCTCTACCCAGAGACCTGAAAGAGGAAGTTTTCACCAGCCACTCCAGTAAATTCTGAAGCAATTTC